CGGAAATTGCGAGAACAGTAACAGAGTGGGACTCTTGGCTTCCAGTCACGCGGTTGATTCGCAGCTGACGTCAAAATCTCCCACTCCAGTAGCTAGGCGTGAGGAAGAAGGCATTTCTGGCCTATGAGCACAATACGGGGCACATTAGTTTCGTACAATATAGTTTTTTTATTTATTTAATGTTAAAAACTGTTTGTGACGTACAATGAAGAGAAGTGATGTATTTTGTGCACGTTTTATTGAATTATGGGTTCTGACCTTAATATCTATACAAGTTGAGTTATGAATTCAGATGAAAACGAATCTTCTTGGCAAGAATTGATTTGAAAATATTAGCTCCTCTGTAATAAAAATTATTTGAAAAGACAAATAAATTACAAAATTTGGTTAATGAACTCTAAAAAACGTGCACAGATAGTGCAGTTACTAAAATCGTATACAAGGCCTATACTGGAGGAAAAGTGCTGATTTTTCAAGAATTAAAACTCGTTATATCAGTTCCTAATACTAAAGGAAGAGATTTTTTTACTCCTATGAGTAATAAATTTATCTCTCGAAAACGTTGTCGTGTAATCACAAACCATGCTATGGGTTCTTACCGAAAAAGTAGTTTTCGGTAATCCGTTTGTCCATCCGTCCGTCCGTCCTGTCTATGAACAACACTAGCATCTAAACGTTATAAAGAATTTTCGCCAAAATTCACATTCCTAGATGCTATCGTGGTCTTCCAAATTTGGGACTGATATTTTATTTTGGAATAAATTAAATTATCTTATAAAGATAATTCTTAATAATTTTTAATGAAAATATCAGATCCGATTTTCATTAAAGCTTCTGAATTTTCGAATATTGCCACAAAACAAAGTTCGCCCCCCTCACTCACTAGATTGTTTACATTATTGAAGATAGTTTTTTCAAGAATTAAATCTGTTCTCCATAATTTTATCTTGAAATAATGTCATGTACATTTTTGTGAAAATGTGAGAAGAGGTTTAATTATTAGGAATGAAAGATAGCTTACGGTACTAACCTGTTATTGTTCGAAGAAGCCACCGAAACCCACCGTTTAGAGCTGCCAGCCGCTGGTATTCACCTCCAGACAATGCATGAATTCTTATCTAGCTAGTATCAAAAATCCGCCACCGGCGAGATACGAACCCAAGGACCTTCCGGTCAGAGACACTCCTGCTGTTGCCCTGATTTGCTCAAATATACTAAAATATGCTCAATAATATGACATAAGACCTAAATAATTTAGATTTTGAAAATTTTCCAAAATATTTTTTTTCTAATCGGTCCATCTTCAATGAAACAGCTTATTGTGAATTACATGGTTTACGTTTTTCGATAGGTGTCTGAAGTGTTAGTAGGTTAGAAAGCAATATAATAATTGATGTTGTATAAAATAGCCAATATTTATCTTTTTATATGAAGCGTTGCTTGCTGCTCTGTATCAATGTTCAATCATTAAATATTATTCAAATATTCACAGTCAAAACAACTTACTTATTTATTATCGTATAGCGATACATCTAACATTACTTCTTGCATTCCTTCTTCTCCGTTCGTCTCTCATCAACAACCCTTACAAACCCCACTTTACAAGACGTGACAACACATATACAGTAGATATACTCGGTGCAACAAATACCCTCTTAGTGTAAAATGTGTGATTTTTATTTTAATCTTCATCGTTTCTCATTCTTGAACTCTTGTAGTTAAGTTTATAATCCTATTAACAATTTAAACAACAACATATTTAAAAACAACAATAAACATAGAATTACAGTTAATTATATTTACATTAAGAAATTAAAATCATATTCGTACTTTTTAAATGTTTTATCATGATATAACTATGTGTGTCTTTTGTCATGATATATGCTTACATACAGTTTGATTTTTCGAATTTATTCATGATCGTGTAGCGATACATTTCACAACACTTCTTGCATTCCTTCTTCTCCGTTCGTCTTTCAAAAACAACCCTTAGGAACACCATTTTACACGAAACCATGACAACGCGTTTACAGAAGATATACTCGATGCAACAATTATTTTACGTAACCATTAAAATAATATGAGAATGTATTGTTGTAACACACTAGTTTTACTGTTTTTGAATCTTCACTTTAACTCTTAATAGATCTAAACAAAATCCTTCCCTGCACCATAGGGTACATTTTCACCTGTAGGGAAAACATATGAGAAAATTTTCTCATTTCGACTTTTAAAAACACATTCCATATTTCAAGAACCTGCTATCCTTTTCTTCATGTATCATTTCTTATTCTCACAAGCGCGCGCAGCCTTAAACAAGACGCGTGCCTACTATATTTTAGTCTCTTTTCTGTCTGACGTTTGTTCTTACAGGTAAATGAATAAAACATAACACTACATATAGAACGGCATTAATATTTTATTGATCTATGTATGTATTGGGCGCCTCAGCCCGTGAACGGGCTCAGACATACCAGCGACGTCCCTGTCTCGCGTCCATGGGGGTATGTGTGGTTAGCACGTAGACATCCCCAGGAAAACGCACACTATAATCTTCCCCCACCGGGAATCGAACACGGGACGGCGTAGTGGAATGTGGGCACGCTGACTGACAGATAGCCATGAGGCTAGTACTTCATTTCTACAAATAATAAATATAATTGATTTTATATTATTTATCATTAACATTATATCATATTAAACCACATCTTTAAAATGGCTGTCAGATGCCTTGGGAACCTCTTCCTCAAGTGTCGAATAACAATTTCTCAAATTATCAGAATAAAAAAGGAAAACAACAACAACAGAGATTGAACACATTTAAGAAAATAAAATATTTTATTACCTAAGACTACGGGACCCTTTTAAAAATTATCAGGAAAACCACACCCTCACCCCTCTGCACCCTCCTGTGAGCACCTTTATGTGCCCATTCTTCAAGGAGGTCTCTATTGATTCACTATAGATTTGATATTGATTAGTAGTATTAAACTACTTAAAACCAACGTTTGTAGAATCTTGCGATTGAACGATATAAATTCCATCTAATCATTGTAATAACACATATACGAATTTATATTCGATAACTATTCTACAGATTGATAAGAGATGACACAAAAGATCGTGCATATAAATCATTCAATTATTCACACTACAAAATAACGAACCTACACGTCGATTAAGGGTGATTTCAAAGGAGATAAGGGAGAGCATCGTGGGTAGCTCTTGGTCAGCGTGCTCGCTTTCCACTCCGGGTTCGGGTTCATTCCCTGTGAGGCAAGATTTTAGTACACGTTTTCCTTGTCATTTCCCAGTATTTGTTACTGGGAAACTCTTTTACTATACAAAGTTGAATTTATTTATTTATTTAAAAAACAGTTAAAAACTGTGTGTAATGTGCTATGGGGAAAAGTTATATTGAAGTTACATTTATATCCAGAAGCAAAACAACGGGTCATCTCAGCATTTGCTCAAGGATCAGGGAAACTACAAAAACCTGATCGACATGGGGGTCATTGATCCAGAAGCTGAAGTACATTTTTTGTTACAGGTTCTTTAGAATTATACAATCCAAATGGTAAATAATACACTAAATGTCGTAATTAAAATGAATATTTTTCCTTTTGGATGCTCGGTAGAGTCTAATTGTATAGAAACAGTTGTGCAGCAGAGAAGATTTTACTTTAGTATCAAATTTAATCGTTTAATGTCATCTGGCAAGGTGTAAAATAATGTTCATGTATTGTGTGTAAATTTTTTGTAGGGAGCTGCGGATACTGTTACCTGATGAATATACGAATGAAAGAAAGAATTTGTTTGTTTTTACATGATGTCCCTTGTGTTATCCAAGAATTGCTTTTCCGTCAATTATTTAATTTTCTTTTTTGAAGAGGAAAGCAAGTGTTAAAATGAAGTGAAAGCGTTGAAAAATAGAAATTATATTTATCGTTTGTATCAACAGTATGTATTAACAGTTCGTATCAACCGCGTCTCATGACTCTTGCGGCACATATTTGATGAATAATTTTAATAAGAATAAGAATAAGAATTTGTGCATCGTGATCACTGTACCCTAAATCTTTTGTTTTAATTTTATATCGAGTAGTGGTTTTGTGCGTTTTGTGTGATGTACCTTTATGCGATTCCTTCTCTCTTCAATAATGGCCTACAATGTAAAAGATTGTAATTTGGAAAATCCTAAATTCAATATGAAATAACCAATGTTCTGTAAAGCAGAGAACAGCCATTTGATTTAAATCGCTCTGTAGAGCTGCTTCGATAAACTCAGTTGTATTTGAAAGGGATTGAACATTATGGTGCTGTATGAGTATCTTTTGCAAGTATCTACACGGTTGTTTTTTAGTGTTTCTGATCTAATCGGGAACATTAATCGCTAGATAATCAGAAAATACGTAAAGACTGCCTTTCAATTATTTAGGGAGGCATTTGCGTGAGCAAGGGCAAAGTTATAATTTAAGTAATTTGTTACTAGATGATAAATATTATTTACTCTTTAATACCTTTTATTTATTTAAGTCAAAAACAGTTAAAAACTGTGAGTAACGTGCTATGGGGAGAAGTTGATTAGAAGTTACATAACAAGGGGCCAGTCAGCGTTTGCTCGAGGATCAGGGAAACTGGACGAAAACATGATCGAGATGGGGATCTTTCATTAGACGATATATATTATTCACTCAGATACTTATCATAAGATGTTTTTTATTAAGAGATTACATATTTGAAGATTCCGAACAGGTAGTCTCACTAGGCGATAAATACGAAATAGCATTTGCTATAATATTAACATAATTTACAACAGGAAAATACTTCTCATTTACATCTCGCCCCTCAGAATACTTTGGAAACTACACAGATTAAAAAGGAAATAGTGTTTTCTAATTTTGAATTTCATTTGATTGTATGTCCAGCATGTAATCGTTAATTGTTAGGACAAGGAATTAATGATATGCTAATGTCATACTGCGAATTATTAGTGTTCAATGTTCATTACTCAACGTCAATCCGATCTCCTCCTCCTGCCGAGAAAATCTGTCTTGTTAATAAAAGGTAATAATAATTGGAAGTGTTCAACAAGATCTACTTAACGTTCTAGGAACTTATTGTTACTCTATGTATTTGCAACATCGGCTTCGTTTCCTTCTTGGACCACATCAATGATCCAATTACTTGTTTTCATTTCTTCAAAAGGTTAATTTGTGTATCCCTTCCATCATGTTCTTTACCTCCCATTATTATTAGAAGTGTGTCATACCAACGTAGCGGAAAGAAATCTGTGTTGCTTTCTTGTCGATTGTTTCTTTTAGCAGAACATCATAAGAACATCATCTTCAATAAAGCAAAAGTGATCATATGTAATTACTTACAATCAATTTTATTCATTTTAGTACTATTATGTAATGATTTCGATTGTTCGATATTATGAAGCCCGTAATGAGAATCATCAAACTTCAAAGACAAAAGACAGTAGAGGAGCGTCGCAAATTGCGAATGAATCACGAGCTTAGTGGGATTGTGTTTCAGAAGGGAATGTAACGTTTGGTTGAATTGATGATGTTGAACAATGTTTCAAATTGAAGAGAGTGTTTTGAGTCTCTGTTTCGGATGTAGTGTGTGTGTGTCTGCATTGTATTTTATATGTTACCTTTAATTTCGCGAAAATTTGAGTCGGTGAATGAAGTAGGCGAATTAGTTATCATGTCATCACCAAAGCTGTATATCGCATATTAATTACGAACCAGTATGTTGCGATAACTTCATCATCCCCTCCTGATGATTATTTAAGTGGCAGGTATGTGACAAATTCTATTCATCTCTTAATGTCGATGAATTTGTCGACATTTGCTTCTGTCAACGTGAAGTTAATCTTAATCGTATTAAATCTTTCGATAGTAAATCATTGGTGTGATTTTTTAAAACCGTTTTTAGTATATTATCATGAAGTTTTTGCCTTTGTGTCAACTGATGTATTTTGTTTGTTCTAGCAAGAATGGGGCCTCAGAAAGGAATCGATGATCTTCCAGATGAAATATTGGTTGAAATTTTTTCTTACCTAACGTTTGAAGAGTTGGTGCATTCAGTTCAGTATGTAACAAGTCGATGGCAAGAAGTTACTCATGATGCGCAGCTCTGGAGGCATCTTGCTTATAGCCCTAGCTGGCGAGAAAGTGATGGCCAAATTGCAAGTGTTTTGCAGCAAACTCCTAAACTACAAACTCTGATACTTAGTCAGAGAGGTGTCCGATCAACTGTTTTAAATACTTTCATGGAAAGTTGCCCTAATTTAAAAAGGTTAGAATTTAACAATTACCAAAGATTAAGCACAAGTTTATTGGAAAGGATTGTTCAGAAATGTCCAAACATAGAACATTTGAGTATTCCTAATGGAGTGTTAAGTAGAAAAGATCAAGCTGAAATTATTGGACAGTTCACTAATCTCCGTGTTTTGGACGTTGGAGGTTGGGCTGATCCTGACAACCCTGTGTTTTTAAGACCATTGGCGGAAGGATGTCCTGCCTTGCAATCAATAGATTTGAAAGATAAAATGCATACCAATGATGATCTGGAATATCTATTACAGAAAAAGAAGAACCAACTGCACACATTATGTGTGAGGTGGAGTAGTGAGGAGGGTAAATGTACCCTTCCCCTTTTGCCAATTTGTCAGACTCTCAAAACTTTACATGTAGATTCATATTGTGATACTAATATTGAAGCTGGATTTGAGTCTTTACGAAGTTTAAAAACAGTAACTTCTTTGACACTGTGTTTCCTAAATAATGCAAATATTAATTATGTAATCAGTATCTTCAATAAAAAAGCAATGATGCAACTTGTGGAATTACATATTAGTTACTATGAAAATTATGAGGACAGACTTGCTGAAGTAATTGTGAAGAATTGTCCTCGTCTTAAACACCTCTGCATTAAAGAATGCAGTAGTCTGACTGATGACAGTGTGGAAAATTTTCATACATTGAAAGATTTGCAAAAAGTTAATCTTTATGGTTCTAATATTACAGATAAGGGTGTAGTTCATATAAGCAAATGTAAGCATTTGAAATATTTAAATTTAAAATGTTGTATCAAGCTCTCTGAGAAAAGCATGGAGTTGATTACTAGGTTCACTGAATTACAGGTTTTAAAACTAGATTTCTGTGATATTAGTGGCTTGCCTATTGGTCTTATACCCTCCCGACTGAAAAATTTGAGGTTATTCAGTGTAAATTACTGCAAAAATGTGGACCAGGAAGCATTGAAACAGCTCAAGGAACAGATGCCTCACTTATGTATATATGATCGTGTAGATAGATACATTTCAGTTGATATGGATGATTGGGAGAGTGTGGAAGTGATTCAACCTGTAGAAATGGAAGAACCTGATATCATATTTATTGATGCTCCTTTCATTTTGGAGCAACTGGGTATCTACTAGATATGTGATATGAATATGTGATGACTTTGGTAATCTATAGAGAGTTTTTAGACTTGATGGCCCAATCCTGATTATAACCTTAGTATTAATTTACTAGAAATCAAATACCTGATTTTCTTTTTCGGTCTTTTCTTTGAGAGACTCTTGATTAAACATGTTTGTTGTTTCTCTTCTCTATACATGTAACAAACTATTAAAACTTAAAATTTTGTTAAAATTTTAATATTGAATGCACTGATCATTATCTCTTTAGGAATTTTTTGTGAACGGCTTGTATTTTAAAAATGGTCAATAATAAGTAAGATCTACTAAACTGAAAGACTTGTAGTAAATTTGCTCTAGGTGCTGAAATAAATAAATTTTGTCAAGGAAAAGTAGAGTTAATTTTCTTGATTTTTTATAAGAAATAATAGTACAAAATTTCAGTGTCCTCCAGTGAATGAAGATTTGTATTTTATCAGGTGCACTGAAACTTGATATTCTGGCACCTAGTGTATGTAGCTGTAAAGTTTTCAAGAATTTTAATGAAGAGGTGTAACAAATCTAAGCAGATAGTAACTTTTTGTGGACCAAGGTAATTGAGTTACATGCTTTAGCGAAATTGTATACTACAAAGTCATCACATTTATTTTTGACTTGTATTTAGATACCTGTGAATTTTCTGAAGTTATATAAAATATTTATTTTATTTTAAGTCATATTATTATATGGATTTTTTCATTTATTTGTTAATGAGTTCCTTTAGTATTTTCATTAATTACAAAGTAGATTTGGTTGCTAATGGGTCAGTTTCCTTTCAGATTTTAGCACTATGAATTTTTTTGGTGTAAGTTGCTATACAAAGTGTCTTACAGAATAATTTCCTTTTTTGTTTGTTTTACTTATCGCTGTGTGCTGGAGATTGCTGATCTTTCGATCAGAAAGGGGAAGATACATTTTCTTTTAATAAATGTAGAATAAGGAAATGACTGCAACACAAAAGTCCATGCTACCTAATGTAAGTTTATGTACTGATGTCCTTGGTGATTGTAGTGTATGAAGTTAATCTTGCATGGATAAACCTATTTTGCTTGATAAGACTTCTAGCTATGTATAATATTTTTGTTATATACAAAATATTTATTACATTTACCTGTATTAGTGTAAATAATTGTATATACATTCAGGAAACATTTAAGAATGTGAGGCATAGTTTGCAATCATCATAAACATGTGGATAGACTGTTTTTAAGTTGATATTGTGATACTTAGTGCATAAAATGTCTCAACAAATTTTAATGTATATGGATGAAAATAACCTCTGTGTGTCAAATGTTGAGTTGTGCTGGATCGCAACTGTCAAATAATGTGTGTATTCAGTGAGAAAGACAATACATAAGGACACTGTTTCTTATCAAGCAATTATAGAAATGCAGTTGACCATTTAGTTAGTTTCTTTAGAGAAGAAAGTTCATATATGTACCAATCCAAAGGTCAATAAGTTCATGTAAAGTTCCTAAAATTTATTATGTATACAATATCTATGTTATTTGAAATTAGAAAATATCATATTTTCATCCTGCAAACGTTTTAACATTGATTAGTGACAGTGTCCCCTTTTGAACTGTGAGCATGTTTATGTTAAATCCATCCGTTGTATTACATCTGAACTGAACTGAACTGAACTGATATCTTTTATAAGAAGAAGATAGGCAGTTAATCATTAACAGACATTCATTGTGACTTTATTTATCTTATTACAACAGCAATTTCTCTAGTAATTAAGTTTTTTTTTAATAATTGTCTGCCTTTTCCATAATATATATGGGCTCGAGTAACCCATATGCTAGTCGTATCATTTTTTTCTTTTGTATATTTGCTCTCTCCTGGATTTCTGTAATATACCACTATGGTTAATATTAATAAATGTATTGAATTTAGTGCTATTGTTTTAAATCCAGTATCAATTTTCATTTATCATATCCTCAAAATCCTGCTTTCAATTGTTTTTGGATGTCCACAGGTGATTAGTGGTAAATCGAAATAATATTTGTTCCTGTGGTAGAAATTTTATTTTTTTAACCCATCAATAAGGGAAGGAAACTGTTATGCCCATGTAACTTGTGTGATATATTCTTTGAAAGTAACTTTGAATAAATCAACTTCTGGAGAATGAGGTTTCATGTATTCTATATTCTCATTTTCAAGAGGAAGAACTTTCTGTTTCCCCAAGAGTGGTTAAAAATTATACAACTGTATGTAAATGATTCATATCTGCATTCCACTTCATTAATGTATTCTTTTTTCTTTGTATATTAATGCAGAAAAAAAAATTCATGATAAAAACATTCTGTAAGTATTTGAAAATTGCTATTTTAATTTTTATTAACATTTTAATGAAATAGCATGTTTTAACTGATGTCTGAAAGATGGTAAAAGAAGAAGGTATGCAAAGGTTTTATTATATTTTAATCATTCTATCATGTACAGAAAAATGAGTAACCACAAATTCCATAGGCACATCATAACACTAAAGAACTGTGTTTACATGTTCATCCGTAAAAAGTTCACAGTTATACAATTGTTGTTACTGTGTACCTATGTCATAACAATGAAACAAGCCCATTTGTTCAGCTTCATATCGCTTGTAAAATTATTTGATGTTAAAATAATTTTACCTTTGGCACTTAATCACTTCTTTTAAAATCTACACTAGCTATTATGATCAGTTGTTATTAAACAAATTTACAAACATCGATGTATTCATAATGAAGATTGTTGAACGCGTTGATATTCAAATATCTTGTTCATATCTAGCATGTATGTCATACTCTGCAGCATTCAATCAATTTAAGAAGAGAAATAATTGGAATTGATAAAAATAATACTTTGTCAGCAACTGATCAGTCACAAAGGTTGTAAAATGGCAGGTTGACACAATTTCAAAGATTATCATTTAGGGCCTGCCGTGTTAATAGTTTATCACAAAGCTTTAGACTGTGTTGACATTGGATTTTTTTTTCTTTTCTACCAAAATGTCTTGGTATGACAAATTTAATGTATTGTACATTTTGAAAACCCAGATTGAAAACATGAATTAGTCTACATTTTACAATATACAGGTATGGATAACTATTATTTCAGTTTTTTATAAAAGCTACTTGAAATTAATGTAGTACATAAATTGTGTTGTGTCAAGTTTCTTGGAACAATGTTTTTCAACTCTAGTCCTGTCAGTCAAAATAAAAAAAATGCTCTATACTTGAGCAAAAGCAATTTGCTTTTTGCAAATAGAATGAAAGATTTGCAAAAAAAACTGACCAGCAGTTCACTATCAATAGATGTTAAGTACAATATAATTTCCAGTACTTACACACCATCTTGCATACATTCTTTATACAAAAGCATAATAGTTACAAAAAATAGATTACATATCAGTATCAGTACATATTGTAATAAGCCTTTGCACATTAGAAGAAAGTTTTGTTTGTATGAAGTGATCCTAAATGATAATAGTAAAGTCTTAATCACTAAGTATCGATTTGTAAAGGTCTATTTCCATAATGAGAAAGAAAATATTGAATGCTTATTATGGAGAGAATATTTATGAAGACTGAGAAAAATATATTATATTAGGCATGCCATATGTTGTAAACTTATGAAATATGATTTACGCTGCTCATTAAAGAGTTCTGGAAAATAACTATACAAGGTAATGGAATTGATTAATAGCGGCTCAAAGTTTGTTACATATTGTTGATTATATTTGATGTCACAGAACTCTATTCAATTTCTATTTAATTTCAAACATATGTGACTAACTTACTTTTGATGTGTTTTAGTGGTTAAAATTTATTGAATAATTTAGTGCATTACCATTGCAAATTGTTAAGATTATTTAATGAAATTTTGATTTGTTGAATAATTTGTTATTACAAGTTTTTGATGACACATTCACTCCTGCAAGTCTACATTTCATTTACAATTCATGAATACTTTTCCACAATTCTATTGCTATTTATTCCTTCAATTATCCAGTACACATTTCTTTGTTTCATATTTTGTCATATAATATAATCTATGGATGTGGGAGGGTTAAATCTAAGTAATTGTTATACACAAAGTTCATGTATAGGACAGACTGATAGTTTAAACTAAAAGGCAAAGGCAGTTCTGATCAGTGTTGTTGTGTCATGGATATACCCTATTTAATGTTCTATGTTTTAGCATTGTGTTTAAAAGTAAGAAAAAGATGGTCCATTTTTCTTTGTTTATAATCACAAAGAAGTTAATAATAGGCTTCCTTACCTAAGTTTTAAAGTGTGAGTGATTAATTTTATTTTTATTAGAAGACTTTCAGAAATGAATAAGTATACAAACCCAATAAAACATACTATTATTATTTGAACATGAAATCCATGTAAACATAATATTATAGTTTGATATTATTTATGGAAATTGTGTGTTTAGAGTTCAGAATTCTTGAAATGATTTGGTTGTAAAGTGTGGTAGTTAAGAAAATACTCTAAATAGGAAACTTTTTCTGCTTTTTGTGTATTAAAATAGAACTGAGTTTTGCAGTCTTAAAAATTATCTTATTTTCTTAAGAAGCTGGCAGAAAAAGTGGAAAATCTTTGGAGCAACAAAGGTGACAATAGAGATTATATAGCTCTGTCAATAAATGTCTTCAATTAAGAGATTTCTAATCTGTATATTACATTTGTGGGGAAATATATACCAAAAATATGCAATATTACATATTATAGCACCACAAGTATTTATGAAAAAGTAATAAAAATAATAGAGATAGACAGGACTTTGTTAAGCTACTTGTAGAATGGGCTTTAATATCCTTCACTTGAAGAATATATTCAAGATGGTTTTGATATAATTCTGTATTCACATGAAAATGTGGCATTAACTTGGAAACATTTAATTTTCCTTTTATTCAATTGTCGACATTTCTTCAATTTCTTTAGGATTTTATTTTGTATGTGGAGGCCAAGTGACTTCATATTTGTGAGCAAACTTTTTTAAATTAACTGCAGCCTGTTACAAGAATCATAATGTTTTAAATGAATCTTTGGCGTTGTTCATAATAGCAAAAGTAATTATAACTAGTAAATATAAAAGTTTATGATCTTTTTGATAACTGTAGTGTTGTATCAGCCCTTTTCATAATCTCATACAGAAAATTAAAATGTCATTAATTGCATATAAGAAAACAGTTCAATAACAACACTTTCTGAAATTTAGTAACTAAATTACTAACAGACTTTTGTCTAGTCATGCGACAACAAAGTATTTCTTATTGAGATTAAAGCACACTAACATATTTTACACAGTCACATCATGAAATAAGTGTCTTCAGTACATATATCCACTGTATTCATGTTGTATGCCAAAAACAATATAATTTACTTCAAAACTCACCCAGATTGAGCTTTTCAATTTTCAACTAATTTCTGTGTTACAAAGTATTTTGTATATAAGTCACGAAGCTTTGTAGTGCTTATACCTTCACTCAGCAATTTAAAATAATAACAATTCACACAATGTGCATAACAAGTGTGGAGTGTCCATTCACTCCTATTAAATTTTGAATTCACTTTCTTCTGCTGTGGTAAGGACACTGATGGATGCGAAGTTATCTGATTTTTGGCAGTCCCTGCTGTAAAATATTACAGAAAATCAGTTGTAACATGACAGTAAGAATATTTTTTGGTTCCTATTATTCATTATTTGCAAAATTAAAATTCAATATGTACTTCACTTTATAAAATCTTACCTTTCATGGGTCAGGAGTACTAGAAACTTCCAAAGGTGTACTGCTGGCTGCAGAATTATTATACATTCCACCTCTTGAAATGGCACTCATCAATTCCTCATTTTCTTTTCTGACTGCAATCAGAATAGAACACTTTGATAACAAATTTTCATTTGGAAGCTTTTATTATTTTCCATAATCCTATGAATAAATGAGAAAATCGAGCAATCATATTGCAACAACACTCATAAAACACTGCAAAACATACTATAAATAATTATTTAAATGACTCCAGGAAACTTACTCTGTACCTTATTTAATTATATAATTATCGTAGACCTTACACTATTACCTAATGAAAAATTTTTGTTGCAAATCCATTGTCTCCTTTAAAGAGTTCCCTTTCTTTACCAAAACTTTCACTAAATATAATTTTGAATGTGTAAATCAGTAATGAATATTGTTTGATGTTATTTTCACATAGATATTTTAAAATTATTTCAAGCTCATTGTCAATCTTACACTGTCATCTGGAGAGTAAAATAATGTATTGTTCTGCACTGTTGACATGAGAAAATACCGGAATGCTATTAATGATGTGAAAATGGGATGTAAAATTTAAAAATCTTTTAAAACATATTCCTGATTAATTTTGTAAAAATCAACAGAATACAATGTCTTTTTGTAAAAAATACCCTTTAAAGTCATAAGAATACTTTTCATATTTACAAAAGATTTTCTATTTGTTTCATTTTAGACAGTTTGTGATATATTTAGGCAGGGGGAACGTGGGATAAAATGTAACTGGTAGACTTGCCAATGCTGACACATTTATTGCTGTTTTCATTGGAGATTAATTTAACTGTGAAAATGTGTTATGGTGTAAAAAATGTTTTCAGTAAAAATATTTGTTGAAAAGAAAGTGATAATGTGTCAGGAAATTAATTTTTCAGAAAAGTGATTGAGGAGGAAAAAAATCTAAAATTGTTTCTTGATATAAGGAAAGAGTGTAGTTGCAAACTACTATTAGTGATGCAGTAACTGTAACTAAGAAAGATGAACACTTAAAAGTCAATTGAATGAGACTGAAATATTCGTTTGGTATTGAATTGACCAATAGTGCTGATGACTTCAAGTTCCAGATCCAGCAATGGCAATCTTATAAGGAATGCTAGAGCGTCATACCAATATTTTTTTGTGAGGCAAAGCTGTAGCCATTTTTGTTATGCTGTGGAAGAAACTACTGTGCATTTACCACTGCAGAATATACTCTGAATTTTTTTTTTTTCATGAGTCTACGGTCTGTATTGTTGTCGCGGTTGTCTCGCAACCCAGCAGAGGCTGGCCCGCGCCTGCGACGTTGGGAGAGCGGCCACTGCCCTTACCGGGTTGCTCCGTCACGGGGTGCTCTGTCACCTGAACCGTCGTAATGCACGTATCGGGCGACTTTTGGAACGAGCTGTGAGTGAGAGTAAGTACCACCGTAAGCAGCTGCACACACGCAGGAACATGA